GTATTGCAAATCAATCATTTTAAAAAAAAAATAAAAAAATTGTAGTGCTATTAACAGAGCACCAAAGGAATGCATCCCATATACAAAAATAAAATATTCGTTAAGCAATCAATCAAATACCCAAAATCCTCCGCCCTATACAAATCATGCCCCAAAATTATAGACCCAAACAAGTGAAACCATCTATCTCTAAGTTTACCCATATCCCCTTCAATGCCTTCAAAAGCTCTTTTATTTCTTTCTTTCCAAATAATCTAAAATATCTCAACGGAATTAAATTGAAAAATCTACCATTTCTCCTAATTCCTTTCCAAGCCCAACTCCTCCCTAACTGAACCAGCCATTACCCAACTAACCGCCAATAGCCCATAAACCATAGACCAAATGTGTTGGACTGCCGGACAATAGAGTAATAAATGGTTACACATCTCCATTTGGATTGCAAATCAATCATATGTTAGAAAGAAAAATTCATATGGTGAATTCTGGCATCCTTAAGCATCCCATGCCAAGAAAAGGGACAGCTATAAGCAGGAGATTAACCATATAAAAGAAGACCTACCTAGGAAAATACAGTTGTAACTTTTTGAAAAATCGATAAATTCTTCTATTGAAAAAAATATTATGGGTTTTCAGAAGAGCAGATTATTATTTTTTTTTTGAGATAAAAAAATAGAAAGAACCCATACATGGATATTAATAGTTAGAATTGCCAAGTGAAAAGAAACAGCAGAAAGGACATACTAACCTGAGTTACATAATTACCATACTGGTCCTGAGCAAGTGAACAAACAGCCTCCAAGATCTCATCCACTATAAATTGGCATTGGTGATCATCTGTACAATGCTCTAAAACTCTCTACAGGAAATAAACCACAGGATATCTCATAGTATTCCCCTCCAAAAGACAGTCCAAGAGTCGAAATATTCACATATAGTGGAAAAATAGAGAGGAGAAGGCAAAAAGATAATATTCCCACATTGCTTTTTATGTTCCATTACCTGTATGACACGGCATCCATATGGATGCATAGAAAGTGTTGCAACATGACTACGGAATGCAGATATTATAAATCCAATTTTATCTGTTGGAACACTCTCAATGCACTTTTGAATCACATGATTTCCATTTTGATCACGTACGCATCTCATAACATGCCCATCCAATTCCTGGACTAGCTGTGCTTTTTGCTCTAGCTCAATAACCTCAAGAGCCTACACAAGCATTTAATCAGGATATACATTTTTTTTCATTATTAAGGCAAACAATCTTAACAAGAAGCTAAGTACATAGTTTTGACAGTCCAAATAAATATTAAGCTAAAATATATAAAGCAGAATATCTAACTTAAATGGAAGAACAACTGTAACGTATCTAAAGCATGAATAAGAGAGAGATAAAACACTTTTATGCCCTTATTGCAGTATTTTTGTAATCTTTGGAAATATATAGCACACTACAACTTAAAGAGACATGGGTATACTGCAAACCCAGTTGATTGTATCATTAAATGTGATAGCAGTATACTACACCTTAAACTGATCTTTGGGTATAACCAAACATAGTAAATG